GTTCAGATAAAGAGAAATTGACTCAGCACTCAGCACTCGAGGTGAAATTCCGCCCGGTCCAATTGCCATAGTATCTGTAAGTTTGTTGAGTAATGCCCTGATTCCATTGACACTTAACTCTACTGATTGTATTTTCGGCACGGAATTTGTGCATAGCGAAGCACTAGAACTATACTTCGGCAAGTATACGGAAATGAAATAGTTGTTTAGACAGGTAGCTTTCTCAGTGTCATAACAACTCCTCATTAATGAAGGCAGTTATGATTATTCTTGGGGGGGGGGGGGGGGGGGGGTCTGCTCATAGCCTTTTATACACTGCCAGAACGCCTTTGAATTGTTTTTGTTTTCGAGTTTTTCAAAATCGTGCCACTCAGCCCCCTTTATATTGAGCTTGAACTATCGAGTCACATCATTGAAGCTTTCAAAGTTACATCGGCATTCAGTCCATATATATTTCAAATATATGCGCCTTCTTTTCCATACTATACTTAAGATACGCGTAGTCATCCATGGTTTGTTTCACTTTTCGAGTGTACCGCTTTTGGCACTGGGAATTTAGGTTTCAGTAAGCTCTTTGACTTTTTGCTTGATCTTAAACCACAATTCTTGTACGTCACAGTCATCAAAAAGCGGCATTCAAAAAGCGGCCTATGATCGAGAAGCTTCCTTGATATGCTGGCGTAATCACCTCTGGCATATAGGTACACCAATTTCGTATTCTGTTTCGTTCGTTTTCTATTTTTTGTTTGGGAAACGGTGACGACTGCATGGTGCTCACTTATTCCTGGTACGACATTTACTGAATTCACGATACTTGGAGAGTTGCAAAAAAAAAGGTCCGATGTATTTCATGCGGGAGCAGTCACACATTGGATTAGCCCACAATAACCTACAATGTGTTTCATCTCAAGGTTTAGGATTGTCACCGCTATCATTCCACAAGTTCCGTCATGCCAAGATAAGCCAGAAGAGTTAAAGTCTCCCGCTAAAATGAACGTGTCACAAGAAGCTTCTAAAACAATATCATGGAGAGGTTTTAACGCGATTACGGACGAATATAAAAACCGATAAAATATACCTGCTACGAACGAAGAATTGTCTCGCATAGCAACTTTCAACCACACTGATTCTACTTCTTCACGACCTAAATCTAATTCAAATCAATTTAAAAAGCGACGACTTAAAACAAAAACACCCCGCCCGCGCGTGATCTATCTTTTTGATAAGCAGCAAAGTCACACGGAAAAACCTGGCTATATCCGATAGAGTGGTTCAGCTATGATTCAGTTTCGAATACTACATCAGCTTTTACAGAATCGATAAGAGCCTCGAGGTCATCAGCTTTATTGGCAACGCTTCTGCAGTTGACCGTCAGCGTAATCAGATATTGTATTTGACCCCCCCCCCTCCTTTTTTTGGCATGGGTAATTTTTTACAATGTGAACGACTTTTATTTCTTTTCTTTGTCCTGCCTATATTTTTTACCATCCACAATTAACTGATCAAAGTACAATCTAACGTGTTGTTTTTCATTCATTTTGTTGGTTGTAACTTATTCCCAGAGTCTTTTCCGAATATATCTTGTTTCAGGTGGATTATTCGTGAATACGCACACTGCGAAGTTCTGTGGTGTGCGTCGAAAATGGGTGTATTTACAATATTTGCAAAAACTGATCGGAACTACAGCCATCTTGCTTGCTTGCCTCTGCCTAATCTGGCTCGTACCCACTACGAAGAATCAGCCATTAAACCGGTGGTTAGTATAATGTGTTATTTGACGTATGCATGTGAAAGGTAGTGGCCAGATACTGCACCAGGGTGGCCAATCCTTCTCTGGTGAGGGAGTGCGTTTCCGGCGGTGGTTACCGGTGAGGCCGCACCCCAGGCCTCTTAATGCAGTTCCATCACCACGTGGATTTTTTTTTATCCCGTTGGGAACTGCGCGGCACCGGGATTCGAACCACGGACCTTTTGCGTGCGAGGTGGATGCTTTAACCACTACGCCATCGCCGCGTCCCTAAGACATAAGAAAGGAGATGACAAGGACTTGAAGAATTACAGGCCAATCAGCTTGCTCTCTGTAGTATACAAGCTATATACAAAGGTAATTGCTAACAGAGTAAGGAAAACATTAGAATTCAATCAACAAAAGGAACAATCAGGATTTCGAACAGGCTACTCAACAACCGACCACATTCATACTATCAATCAGGTAATTGAGAAATGCTCAGAATATAACCAAGCACTATACAGAGCCTTCATAGATTACGAGAAGGCGTTTGATTCAGTAGAAATATCAGCCGTCATGCAGACATTGCGGAATCAGGGCATCGATGAAGTATATAAAAACATTCTGGAAGAAATCTACAGGGGATCAACTGCTACCATAGTGCTTCATGAAGAAAGCAACACAATACCAATCAAGAAGGGTGTAAAGCAGGGGGACACAATCTCCCCAATGCTATTTACCGCGTGCTTACAGGAGGTTTTCAGAAGCCTAGAATGGGAACAGTTATGAATAAGAGTTAATGGAGAGTACCTTAGTAACCTGCGCTTCACCAATGGCACTGCATTGCTGAGTAACTCAGTGGACGAATTGCAACTCATGATTACGGAGTTAGACAAGGAGAGCAGAAAGGTGGGTCTTAAAATTAATCTGCAGAAAACGAAAGTAATGTACAACAACCTCGAAAAAGAGCAGCGCTTAGAGATAGGTAATAGTGCACTTCAAGTTATAAAAGACTATGCCTTCTTAGGGCAGGTAATAACCGCAGAGCCGAACCACGAGATTGAAGTAACTAGAAGAATAAGAATGGGGTAGAGCATATTCGGCAAGCACTCTCAAATTATGAAAGGTAGATTGCCACTATCCTTCAAGAGGAAGGTAAGAACAGCTGTATCTTACCGGTACTTAGCTATGAAGCAGAAACCTGGAGACTTACAAAAAAGGTTCAGCTTAAATTGAGGACGACGCAGCGAGCAGTGGAAAGAAAAATGGTAGGTGTAACCTTAAGGGACAAGAAGAGAGCAGAGTGGATTAGGGGACAAACGGGGGTGAAGGATATCATAGTTGAAATAAAGAAGAGGAAATGGACATGGGCCGGGTATGTAGCGCGTAGACAGGATAACCGCTGGTCATTAAGGGTAACTGACTGGATTCGCAGAGAAAGGAAGTGGGTTAGGGGGAGACAGAAGGTTAGGTGGGCAGATGAGATTAAGAAGTTTGCGGGTATAAATTGGCAGCAGCAAGCACAGGACCGGGTTAACTGGCCGAACGTGGGAGAGGCCTTTGTCCTGCTGTGGATGTGGTCAGGCTGATGATGATGATGAGGATGATGATGATAGTATATTGTTAATAAAGGAATGTGAATAATCAAATTGAGCTAAAAAGATTTCTGGATAATATGAAATTCACCAATAATAAAGTCACTACAAAGAAAGTAGGCACATAACTACTAATCTAAATTAATAAAGAATAAGTGAATGTTGAAGAACTACATTTCCTTTTGGAATATATAGCCTAACAAGAAAATGTTCATATGTTTTCAAGGAATTCGCGAACTGCTATGCAGATGTTCCTGTTTCTGTGACCCAGAGAAGAAGCTCCAAAAGAAAAATGATTTCAGAATCAAGAGTACTGCTTACTTTTCTGTATAAAATGGCGCGAACAGGAGACAACCCGTCCTCTTTTTCTTCGACCTCTAGGTTATCGACACATGACAATATCAACTGCATCTTGTTTTTCTCGCCAAGCAACTGGGAATTGAATGTTCGCATCTGCGTCATCTTGTATAATTACAGGTCCACCTTTTTGGTGCACTGCCTCCAGGCACAAGACACGCGACTTCTAGTATGGTTGCAGTGGTCACATTTTAATTTGGCAAAATGCGACACGTTGGTAACCTGCAGCTACCTTGACAATGTCTAGCAAGTTTATTTATCAGTACGAAATATGGCCACCACATCCGCATATGTACAAGCCTAAATTCATTGCTAGCCCAAAATGTTTCCAACCCTTTTTCAACAGACACTCCGTCCAACCACAATGCGTCACCCACAATCTCACAAGAATCAAGGGGAACCCTTTAGTTCTGGCACGAAATTGACTATTTATTTCGTATGTTCACCAAGTAGCGCAACAGCGAGCTCTACTCTGCAGTTGGCGTGGTCAGTTCTTGTACTGAGCACCTGGTGAGCTTAATCAAAAAGGTTCTTTTAGAGTGCAGTAAGAACACGTTCACTACGAAGCTCCGCAAACATTTCGTAAGTTATGCTCGCAAGTTTTTTTTTTGTCTTCTTCTAGGTGTTGTTGCCGAAACGTTCGGTGTAGTTCACGTCAGACTGGCATGACACTGGAAGAGAATCACATTACTAACCTCAGGTGATTTGGGCACTCAGTGTGGAGACTGCAGCTGCTTGCCCTTATTTGACACATTCTTGAAGCTTGTGAAATTGCTAATGATTAAAGTGATAGTACACAAACCCCGCCTGTCAGTGTCCCCCAAAAAATTCAATCCCTCTCTAACTTGATCATGTCTTGGACAGATGTTTGGTTCAGAAGTACAGATCACTGAATGTTCATTTTATTTTTTTATTCATTTGGGCATTCTTCACAAAAATTATCTGTAGTTCCCGTTATTACGGTGCACATTTATTAAATCGCACCAAATTAGGTGTTCGTATTACGAAGTCGCACTTATCTATTCTATATCATGGATGCTACCGAACCACCGTGCTATAGACTTTTTGTTACTAAATGAGATGGAATATGTTAATAAAGAAATTTAGTGTTGCGTAAGATGGGCATCGATTCGATGATAGACTACTAATTGATGCGGCGTTTTGTGTATAAATTGCGTCGCCTTCTAGAAATTTCTTGTCAGGAATATCCCGGGGCTGTGCAAAATGCGTTGTCTTCAACGAGCCTTCTGGCCTAACCTGACGCTGCAGGTGGGACATGGCAAGCACCCGACCATGTCGACGCGCAGTTCCTCACTTACCCAAGGCAGCTAAGATGGCGGCTGACCAGAACACCTCGCCGCAGAGGGCTGGGAGGAAAAGTAGGCCCCCCATGCGGGCTCCGAAGTGCTTCTGGAAAGGGTCCAGCATCGTCTTGTAGCCGGCATTGCGCATCTTCACCGCGAACAGGTTGCCGCCTGCGTTGTGAAAGCATGACTCGCCACCTGTTTTACTTCACGTTTATTTTTCAAAGGACCCCTCAAGAGGGGCTGACAATTGTAGCGACATATGTACACATTAACATATATTTACAAATACATAAACAATAATATATACATTCATAACATATTCACAATAACCACATACGCATATAACTTGTGTGGGTGCTGACACCTTCTGTAAAGTTGTTTGCGCTTCGTGGCGCGCGTGTCTCGTCCAAAAGCCGCATTTCCGATTACGATCACCAGGCGATAGATGGCGTTGTGTTCGCGGTGAGCACTACTATGATCGTCATGGTCGGTAGAATGGTAGCGCCAGTGTGACCCCTGGCAAAAGGCAAGCCTTGGCGGTGGGCGAGAGTTGAGAGCGAGGCTCTTCAGCGCGTGGTGGTTGCCGCGAACGGTTGTCTCTAGCGTGGGTCCCCGGTGCTCGGCACCGGGGGCTGCGTGCCGGGGGCCCTCGTAGTAAGTCAAGCGTTGGCGACGCCACCTTGGGTGTTTTATTGTGTTTGTCATGTTATTGTGTGTTTGTCGTATTATTGTATTGAGCGTATGGTAATATTGTATCCGGATGTACTAGCGTGTTGATAACGATTGATGTATCAATTCAGTGGACGATATCATCGTTTCGAATTAGTTATTTAAATGTATGTTAATGTTTGGTTAGTACCGACCGCGTCTGCAGTGTCCGTTTCACTCTAAGAGCGTGGCGTGGCGCGCGCTCGGTGATTCGAGACACGACAAACTAGTAGGCACATATAAATATAAGAATAAATTAGTGTTCAAGCTTTTCAGCAAATGATGATGGGAAAGTGATATCAGTGACAGAACGGGTAGGCTGTTCCACACAGTTGATGAACGAAAAAAGCAGGACGCTGAGAAGGTAGTAGTGCGGCTGCGTGAACAGGCTACTAGTAACTGATGCTCAGTGCGAAGGGAAAGGCGGAGGGGAGTGGCCGGAATGTAAAATGCCTGATGAAGCGAGCTATGATAGAACTTGTGAAAAGTGAAAAAAGATAACTGAATCAATGTGGCGCCGGAATGACAGTGACTCTAAGCCGGATCGTGCTTTCAGCAGTGACAGGCTTGTGTGATAAGAGTACGATGAATGAATGAATCTTGCCGCGCGAGTGCAATGATGAGATGTGCTTAATGTCGGGATCATGTCGGCGATGCGTACTGAAATTTCAGATGTACGAGTGTTTTATATTCTAGTAGATTAACGTGAGTAGGTGCATGACGTAAATGGCGTTTTAGAAATCCCAAGGTTCAGTTAGCTGAAGCAGAAATGCACCACACATGAACATACCAATCTGAGTCACATGAAAGGGTGACATCAAGGTGCTTAAGTGAGACTACTTTTTCTAAGGGAGTATTATTGGTGTTCTACGTATGGGAGGGCTGATGGCAGTGGCTGAAACCTATTACTTTACAATTATTAGGGTTAAGGGTTATTAGCCAGTCGTTACACCAGTGTTAAGGTCGTCTTGCGAGGAATTGTGGTCAGGGTAGTTATTATTTGCGCGGTATAAGGCACAGTCATCATCAAACAGACAGATATGTAAGAAGAAACATGAAGGGAAAGGTCGTTAATGTAGATAAGGAAGAACAGGAGACCAAGGTCCCTGTATTGCTGGTCGCCAGACGTTACGGGAGGGGTGCGGATGTACGATTGCACTGACTGATGACGGTTAGAGAGGAATTCAGCAGTCCAGTTCAGAGTGTTTGGGGGCAAGTTCAAACGGGATAGTTTTATTGATAGCCGTTTGTGAGGTAACTTGTCAAATGCTTCTGCATATTCGAGGAAAATAGCGTCAACCTGAGCGTTTCTGTCGAGGTTAATGTGCAAGTCATGGGTGAAGATAGCAAGCTGCGTCTCGCACGACAAGCCTTTGCGAAAGCCATGTTAGACAGGGTGAAAGAAAGGAACGGGGTCTAGGAAGCGCATGATTTGGGTGTAGATAACGCGCTCCATTATTTTTCAGGGTACACTTGTAAGCAATACTGGCTGGTAGTTAAGAAGTGAATTTTCATTTCCCGATCTGTAAATCGGAATGGCATGCCCACTCTTGCAGTTTATGGGAATACTGGAGGATGTTAAGGACTCAGCGAAAATTTGTTTAAAGTAAGATGCGCAAGCATATTTTGTGTTTTTAACAGTATATAATTGATACTGTCTACAACTGAAGCTGAAGATAACTTCAGTTTTTTTATTATTAGCATTACGCCATGTTCGGTGAATTCGGTGGGTGGCATAACAAAGTACAGGTGAACAGCCGGTACCGGCCAGGACTGGCAGGTTCATTTGTAAAGACATATGAAAACGTGCCGTTAAACGCATTGGCGCACTCTTGGTCAGTGGTGACTAAGTCATTATGATCTGCGACAATGATAGTTTCAGGTAGCTTAGGTTGCAAGATTTTTCAGAATTTCTGGGGGCTACTATCTGATACTTTGTGTCGTGTGTCAAGGAAGAAGTAGCTTTTTTTCCATGACTAACAACTAAGAGCTCCGTCAAATGGTTAACGGCAACCAACTCGTCTTGGTTGGCGACTTTGGTTTTGGGACGTTAAACCCCACAAATCAATCAAATCAATCAATTGGTTGGAGACTTCAATGCTCCACACGCAGCCTGAAGCTATCACAGCACCACCAAGAAGGGGGCGCGTGTTCACGACGCTTCACAGCAACACGGTCTGATGCTGTGGAATGACTTGCTCCATCCAACCCGAGTAGGCAACAGCGTGTCAAAGGATACTAATCCTGATCTCACGTTTACTGGAGACGTGCACAACGCAACGTGGATAAAGCTACCGGACACTCTAGCGAGCGACCGTCACATTATTCAAATAGAGGTCGAACAGGCACACCACTCGCTCAAGACAGGAAAAGCTCGGCTCACGAACTGGACCACCTACAGGAATGACCTTGATGATGAATCAACTATCGAAGACATTGAAGCCTGGTTAAACAGTATTGTAAGTGTTGCTGATGGACATAGCAAAACAATACACTTGAACAAGGACAATCCGGCATTCGATAGTCATCTCTTTCACCTAAGACAAGCTCGAAGATCGCTTATTAAACGATGGCAACGGCAAAAGCTCAACCGCAAGCTGAAGCGCCGCATCGCCGTACTCACCACGCAGGCACATGAGTACGCCGAAAACCTTGCGAGCCAGAGCTGGCGGTCCTTCTGCAACAATCTTCAAGGGATATTGAGCACAAAGAAGACTTGGCGCATTCTTCGAGCCCTGATCGACGACACCCTCACCAAAGCTAATCGAAGAAATACAATTCAGCGGATCATGCACAACTATGAGGGCATAGAGCACCAGTTACTTCAAGAACTTCAAGCAAAGCTGCGTGGCTCTCTTAACCAGCAAGCTACCTTCATCAACACTTGGAAACCGGGGGAGTACAGAGGAGCATCGAATGAAGCTTTTCACCAGCCTTTCACTATTGCACCATATGAGGCCAACGTTGCGCAGCTACATCTGCCCTCCCAGCAATGTGACAGACACTCTGGCGCACCTCCTACTGCAGTGCAAAGTAAGCGTCCCCAGACTACAAGCAGCAGCACCAGATGCGGACCAAGACCTCCTCAGTGAAGCGTGGGAGGCTACAATCTCCCAGCCGGACCTGGTCGAGCAGCATCAACTCGTCGCTTGAGCCCGGCGGGCTGTCCAAGCCAGAGGGTTTCCAGAATAAGGGACCCTCCCACCTTCCCTCACAAGCTTCATTCAAGAAAAGTTTTTCTCTCTCTCTATTTAGGGTTCATTTTTTGTGTGAAACATAGTTTATGTTGATTTGCCCAGACAGTTGGAAGAAAACTAAGTGTACAAGTGAGTTTAGTAAGTTTGCAATGAAATATCGACCAATTTTCTTGAAGTGTGTGGCTGTGGAATTCGGAACAGGATGTAGAGTAGAAGGAGACAAGCTCGTTGTTGATCACTTCGTAGTTACGAAGTGATCAACAACACCTGTTCCGCTGTCATAGAAACGTTTTTTTTTCCACAATTCTCGTTTCGGAAAAGCAAACGCGAAGACAGCATGAATTACTTTATGGCACTAATTTTTTAAGCTGATACCACCTACCCCAGAAGCTATGCGGGCGGCCACATCTCAACTTTGAGAAAAACTCTCCACGTCCTGCGGCGTCGGCGTCTCCACGAGCGACGCCAAAATAATTGTGCTATGACTTTACCACATCACGTCACTTATTGCTAAAATTTGTGACGTCATGTGAGTCAACGTCGCATGCTGACTTCTTCACATGACATCGTCGCTCGGTGAAAGGTGGCCTGATCACGAAGGCCATGCGGCCTTCTGGGAGGATTCATAACAGGAAGGTCCTATATTTTTTTGTTTTCCAGCAGCCTTAAATGAATGCAAAGGGAGCCTGGGAGTTCTTCATGCTGTGGAAAATGGGACACCGAAATATATAATTCACCCTAGTGTATATGCCTCAAATGAACTGTTGGTTGTGTGCCTCTATTTTAGTTATATCTAAAACTCAATGCCTATACTTCACCTTCTCTGGTGCCGTTTGCAGACATTTTGATTACCAAATAGCCCGAACTGCGCGTTCCGACTAGAAACGTCACCTCGAATTCAAGAGCATTGATACTACTCACAGCATACGCCCACACCACGAATATAGACTTCATGAAATTTCAGTAACGTGACCCAACATGCGCATACGGTCAATAGTTAGTACGTTTAAGGATAACCACAAAGAGATGGCGCTGTGATTAAAAGAGTTTTCCTGCGCAATCAGCAACCACGGGAAGATGCATGCCGTGGGCAAACTTTTGTCAAAAGAAATCACATTCTTGGCTGTACATCACGCCAGAAATGCAAGATTGAGTGGGAACTGAAGCATCGGGGGAAGCATGTACCGCTCAATGACGCTTCCGCATACGTTTTGTAGTTTCTCATTGGATGCCTGACCACAGCCAAGGCCGGAGCACTGCGTCCATTCGTCATGCATTCCAGTGCAGCATTCCTGGTGGTCACTTGGATACATCGCAATGTTCGGCCTCTTCGAACAAAGGATCTCGGACAAGCCGCAGCTAAATTCACAACGAAGATAATGAGAGCGACACAGTAGTCCTCTTTAAAAGCTTTGGACCACACATAAACTAGAAGAAGGCCACACTACCCAAATTTCCGTAGCCCTGCGGCAGTAGCGTGTCCAGAATATTCTAGGGGATGGAGGTTATGTGCTTGCGTTTTCATACACATGCAAAAGTGAAAACTTTGAAGGGTTTTCGATAGCCTCTCCTCATAGATACTGCCTTCCACTTCGGCGTGCCTCAATCATATCGTGGTTTTGGCATGTAAAACACCAGAAGATAACAACTCGTACTTCAACGTATATAGTAGTGGTAACTTTCACGGCAGAACAAAGGAGGAGATGCTGTTCAGTTTAATTTCCCTCAAACGCCGCAAGGCATGAGTCCACACGTGGTATTGCTTGAACCAAGAAAGCCCGTGTAGCGCTGGAACGTTAATCTAACCAAATATGAAATTTCCGCAATCATTCATGTCAAAATGCAGAACGGTGAGAAATACTACCCTGGCTGTTCAAAATGAAAAGAAAACCTTGCATATGTGAATCATTTAGAGAATACTGCTGATGGGGCAAAGCAGTGTACATCGAATTATGGAACGCGACCTTCTGTTGTGTTTTGATTAGGAGCTTTTCGTTTTTTTGTTTATATATTATTCTTTTTTAGGCTTTGATTGATGCGTGGTCAATAGTCGGATTTTCTGTGGTGTTGTGGCCTTTTACATTTTTACGGTTTACAGCTTTTTGATAATGTTTCTGCGTGTGTGTGTGTGTGTGTGTGTGTGTGTGTGTGTGTGTGCGTGTGCGTGTGCGTGTGCGTGTGTGGTGTGTGGTGTGTGTGTGTGTGTGTGTGTGTGTGTGTGTGTGTGTGTGTGTGTGTGTGTGTGTGTGTGTGTGTGTGTTGTGTGTTGTGTGTGTTCACAGATGTTTTGGATGGTGCAGCCACTTTGGCGCTTTTATGGTTGTGTGGCTTTCTATATCGTTTGACCTTTTATTTTGCTCTTTGATACTTTTGTAGAACGTCACGGATGCTTTCACAGGGGTTTTCGCACCTGTGCTTTGAGCACGAACGCCACCGGACGCGGAATAAGGCAAAGTCCTAAAGCTGTATTCACGCGATGGACGTGATCGCAGATGAATGAGTCGCGTGACATGTAACTTCATTCGAATACCTCGGCAGCCAGCATACACACGACAGGGGAGGACTCGCACTACCACTGAAAATTTTGGCATTGCTCCCCGTGGATCTGAGCCGTGCTTTGGGCTTCCGTCGTTTCGCAAATCGCTCCATGAGAACCGAAGTGAGGACGCTGGAACGGCTGACGTGCGATGACGTAGTACGCAGCCTGCTTGCTTGAATCGCAATCTCGTACGTCGCGTGAATACGTCTTCAGAAGCTTCAGCCATAAAAGTGAATTTCGCGCACTGGCTACAACCATAAAGGCCCTTACTGTTTTACAAAGACAGCTGTTACGAGATCCCACCAGCCTCTTTTGACGCCATATTTGTCCGCTGCCACCGCCTATGTTCGTGATCGCCATTGCATGAAGACAAAATGAAATAAAAAAGATTGCTGCGACTGAGGATTTGAACCTGACCTTCTGAATGACACTGAAGTATTCAAGCACAGATGCAAGCTGAAGCATGAAACTCCTTCGCAAAAACACCCTGAAGAGGAGTCATGTTGAGCAAGAAATGATATGTAGTAATATGGTGTCTTAGAAGAGAGGAAGAACCAGGCATCTCAAAATGTGAATAGGGCAACGAGCTGGTCGTTCAGTGATTCCAACCCATTACGAAGTGTTCAGGCACTACTCTTCATCGCCATCCACTTCATCAGAAAATGCGCATTAGAACTTGCCGGTGAAGAGCGCGTACCACACTTCTCCACAGAATGAAAAATAATGAAATACTGAGTGCTTACTTACGTAATAAAAATATTGAAAGGTACCCACCATGATTTATGGCGTCGTGGGTACCTTACGTGTGTATTTTTACTCGTTCTCCCAGAGAGTCTACAACGTGCCTTACAATGGCCTTTCTCCCAGTTTGCACTGTGAGCATGCCGTGCGTTCCATGCAGGCCTGGCGATAGTTTGTGTTCTATTTAACAATTATCGTGTTCATTGCACTTTATTGTATCTTCGGTCGGAAGCGCACCCTATTCAGAAAGATGAAAGTAGCCTGCCAGCGAGGCATTATTTTTTCAATGTATAGGCTCTTACGAAAGCTTTCTTAGTAGGTAAACATTTACCGTAAGCGTGTACCATTGTTCATTTCAGACAATTAGGCAATATTTCTGTAGAATCAATCCCCGTCTCGGTGGTCTAGTGGTTAGGGTACTCGGCTGCTGACCCGCAAGTCACGGGATCAAATCCTGGCTGCAGCGGCTGCATTTCCGATGGAGGCTGAAATGTAGTAAGCCTGTGTGCTCAGATTTTGGTTGCACGTTAAAGACCCCCAGGTGGTCGAAATTTCCGGAGCCCTTCACTACGGCGTCTCTCATACTCATATGGTGGTTTTGGGACGTTAAACTTCACATAATAATCAATCAATCAATCTGCAGAATTAACGAGCGCAACACAGGAATGGGTGCCCTGCGCCGAGCGATAACTTTGCAGCACTCTCAGACAGCCATAAGGCCTAGAACTGTGGAAATACAGTCGTCAGAGATATGCACAAAGCCCCTTGCTGTCAACGTAAACAGGAGGCTCACCGATGGCCAGGCTGATGGCGTAGCCGAAAGGGGCCTGGCACCAGGCAAGCCCGCTCACGTAGACCACCTCGGCGGTGCCGTTGATGTACCCTCCGCCGACCCAGGTGGCTGCACAGAGTATTTTTGCTTACGAGTTAACTGTGATTGCTCCCACTACAATGGCCAGATGATGTACGTGGCACCCGGCACCGTTGCCGCTTGCGTTAGTCGCTACAAAACATGTCAGCTATAGGCAAATTCAGGCAACTCGCTTTCACTGATGCGAGTGACAATTACCTTTTTTAAACATGATTTCCAATGAAAACGTAACAATTTATAAGTCTGGCATCAGGTGCCGGGAATATAAGCTCTTCTCGTATTAAATAAATGTTCAAAAATATTCTGAGAAGGTTTAACATCCCTGAAATCGCTAAGGTGCAGCGGTGCTGGGGACAGCCTCAGCAATGCACAGCTAAGCGAAGGTGGGTATGGTTTATCACAGAAGCATCATCCTCTCCACTGAGCCACCTGCGTGTCTCCAACCTTCCGTCACTCTGGCCGATAGCTGCTGCACCGGATCCAGGACACTCTAGCTGCCGTGTACAATAGTAAAAATTAAAACCAGTTTCACGGCTGTGTGACCCGAGAAACTGGCCGTCACGGGCCACCGCCTGGCGAACGCAGATTGACTTATTCATTTTCTTGTTCTTCCACCTTCCTTTAGCTTTCTGGCGTTTTCTTTTTTCATTCATAATTCATCTCTTTCTATAATGCCCTCTCTGCCCCATTGACTCCTCCTCACTTCGCTTTTCTACTCAACTGATACTCCGCATGACGATGTCATACTAGAAGCTACTTCGAACTAATCCGATGTCTGTGGCGCAATAATTACGTCCTCTCTTTCAAGACACACTACACTATGATTGCAACGCTGTGCTATAGGAGCTGCTTGCTCTGTATCACCCTACAATATCGATAGTGAAGATGGGCTTCAGGTGAAGTGCGCCAAAGAAAAGCAGGCGCTTACTCCTTAGCGGACTCCTTGGTGTTCACATGAGAATATCGAATTCCAATAAACGGTGTTTACTAAAATATAAGGAATTACACAACATACACAGACACGGACGTCTGTGGGAGAGGTGCTGCATAATGAAAGTTTGGCCAGCTGACGCATTTTTCGGTGAAACACAAGCAGCAGCATAGCAGTCGACTTTTACTGGGAACCACCAAACTAGAACAACATAAAAAGGAACCCTATCGCCAACCACCACTGAGACATCTGATGCCAAAACGTGTTTTTTTTTTCAAATATTGAAGGGAGATGTGACGCAATGCGCAATCATGCATGCAAGATAGATAGATAGATAGATAGATAGATAGATAGATAGATAGATAGATAGATAGATAGATAGATAGATAGATAGATAGATAGATAGATAGATAGATAGATAGATAGATAGATAGATAGATAGATAGATAGATAGATAGATAGATAGATAGATAGATAGATAGATAGATAGATAGATAGATAGATAGATAGATAGATAGATAGATAGATAGATAGATAGATAGATAGATAGATAGATAGATAGATAGATAGATAGATAGATAGATAGATAGATAGCATCCCAGTGTCTTTAGTTCACTGAAAAACTCTGCGTACTTTATCACGACAGTGCATCACCACCACACAACGCAAGGCACATTAGCGTACCCCTCATCATTCGCACCTGTCATCGTGAACACTCCGACGAAGAGGCCGATGTTTCTTCCAGCGAGCATAATGTTCGACTGTTCTCCGACGCTGGCACTCTGCGAACCCTTTATCTGGTCACCACCTTTGCGTCCCGCCCAGATGCCCACGACAAGAATTACCAGGTAGAAGAACACGATGGCCACCAGGCCGGGAACGTTGATCGCCATGGTCTATGCCTATGGAATATGTCAGTGGCCCGATGTTGATAATGATACCTCAAAGGTGACTCATACCCACTCAGTTGGATCAGTCAAGAATTGAATACATGAAATAGTGAGACATTTTCAGTGTTAAATAAAGATGACCAAAAGAAAAATAACGCGCGTTAAACGAAAATAGAGCAATATATGTTTTTATCCCGTTCGGACCAGACGGTGTAACCGATATATTGACTACCAATGAACGAGACTGCAGATATTATTATAAAGAATAAAAAAAACTTTTAGTGTTTATCTGTTGCTGCAGCAATAATACACTAAGCTCTAGTTGAAGACTCATTTCTGTCGTTTGTTGAAGGCAAGCGAAAACGGCATCAAAAGCGTTCTTGTGGCTAAAGGCCAAAGCCGAAGCACTGAAGGCGAGATTATTGCCACTTGTGAAGTTCAGCGCAGCTTAGCGAATGCGATAACAAGAATAATTTTTTCTTAGTGCTCTTTACTGGTGACATGACAGAATTTGTCGCTCTATTATTTTGGTTTCTAAGCACGAGTGTTGCATAGAGGAGATATAACCAGACCAGCTTTGTGTGAATGCAAATTTAGCGGGGGTACGTGGCATTGTAATCTAGTTTCTACGACTTCGAATTGTGTTGTACACTCTCAGTCAAGTGCTGGATAACGGATGGCATATAGGCGGCCCACTCTTACGCACTGACTAAAATCCTGTCTAAAGAGAGCCCAGCAATAAAAAATACCTGTGACAGCCACGCGGCTGGGAAGTGCCTATAGACGGTAAGAGCAGGCGCAAGAAGGGAAAAAATGGCCCTGTATCTGCATTTTTCACTGCAAACGTCGTCGAAAGACAATAGTCTTGTGTGTAGAGAAAGAAAACAAAACGTTCCTTTCATTTTCTGTGCAAAAAAATTGATGAATTGTATTCTGGAAGCGCTGCGTTAGAGAGTCTCGATGTGTGCAGTGAAAACGAACGAGCGCCTCAAGGCACGTTAGACACGAGCGCCATGTGGCAGTTATCTTCGAAAACGAAAAAATGCATGAGCGCCTGCGGAGAAAAATATGCGCCTGTCTCGCGGGCGATAAGGAGTAGAACGCAAAGTGACGGGCAGGTGCCACCACCATGTCGTCTTAGCCAAGCGTTGGAAATGCTTTTTTTTTTTTTTGAGCATCGCGTTGCACTATCAGCGCAGCGTGATAGAAGCTACGGCCTTTCGAATACTTGTGTGTGCTTTCTCTAGTATAAAGGCACACACGCAAAACATCGACGTGTTGTTATGGTGCCTCAGATATGCGCAATAATTGCTTTTTAATTTACAAACGCACAAGCATGAACGCTGAAACTTCAGAAATATTAGAGAGTTATAAAATGCCGGGCTTGCCGTGATACCGGGCATACCGTGATACCGGAATCGAAGTGCGCATGCGCAGATACGTACGTTACGCGTACCGCTTACCGTAAGCGCGGTATTTTTCAGATTTAAGGTAGCGTAGGTGCACGTAGTGGACGTAAACATGGCGGTGCTCTCGGCCGCCCGCTTCGAAGTGATTTTGGCGTAGTTGTTGAAAGATTCATTTTGTTCGCAGCAAACTACTGTTCAAAGTGGCTTCGCATGCCTTCAGTTAGTTTCGATGACTGAGTATTACGGGTAAGTTGGCGTACTTTTTAAGATAGCTTCCCATTTCGAACGCGCCTAGGCCTAACTACAAGATCAATGCAAACAAATCGGCAACGTAGATGTTTTCGCGTTTTGTACGTGGTTCATATTTATTTACTTTTATTATCGCAAAAATAAACTTCTAACAATGCTTCGCGTGGTGGCATAGGCAAACATTCTCGTTTTATTTTCATTTTCATTGTTTAACTTATAAACCATCTAATAGGTGGCGCCACCATCCCACTTGGTGGCACGTAAACCACGCAAGCGCTATTTCAATAAACTATAAGACGCTGCCTACAACGAACGTTTGCTGCACGATAGCGTCATTCCCTTAACAGATGCTATCACGCTAACGCTAAACTATAACTGTCTATTGGTGGGCACTGCGGATAAAGTTGGCCGGCCGTTTGAAGTATTGTTTGGTGCCTTTAGGGGGATCGTTACTGCGGACAAGCAGACAATATATAGACAGAAAGACGGACAGACCAAAATTTTAACGTTGAGGGTCCCCAAGAAAGACCATCGTCTTAAACAAAAAAAAAAGAAGGCCACCGCCTTTGTCACACCAGCCTGGCGCCCGAAGCCAGCATCAGCTTACGCCGACCCGTTTTTTTGGGACGTTAAACCCCACATATCAATCAATCAATTACGCCGACCCGTTCAACAACGTGTGGGAGCGCGAAAAAATAACGAAAAAAATGGCCCTGTATCTGCATGTTAATCTGCAAATGTCGTCGAAAGACGATAGTCTTGCGTGTGGAGAGAGTGAAAAAAAACATTTATTTGATGTTCTGCTTTGACGCTTCAGGAAGCGTCAAAGCAGTGAAGAGGAAACTGGGATAGGCAAAAGTCGTATGTATGCACTAAGGGACCAAGACGGCAAAATAACTACCAATATGGATAGGATAGTTAAAATAGCGGAGGAGTTTTACATAGATCTGTAACGTAGCCGGGACAACCATGACCTTAATACGGGACAACCACGACCACAACACTGCCAAACCTACGATGCTCACAACGCTGCTACAATTCCAGGTGCTGACGTACCTTACTTCGCCGCCCAAATTCCCTCCGGAACCACCTACCTGCACGAAGAAAGTTCACCGCCTACCGGACATCCCCCTCCAACTTAAATGTCACCAACCATCCGCTTTTAGCACGAACCCGGCACACCGCCTGGCAACCTTGCCCCTATCCGACGTCAGCAACCACAAGACCGGATCGAGCGCTACATAAGCAGCAAGAAATCGCCGGCTGATCGGGGCACAACACCGCCAAACCTACGATGCTCACAACGCTTCTAGAATGCCAGGTTTGTTACCTCACCTTCCCCAAAAAATTGAGAAGTGATGACATATGTATACTGGCGGTGTCGTGCCCCTACGACTTTAAATGTCGCGGAGTGGTGCCGTTCTGTCGCGATGCGTTTGTCCTCGATTTTCTGTGTGAATTTTTGTCGTTACTATCTGGTGATGTTGAGGTTAACCCCGGACCCTCCCCTAGTGCTGAACTTTTACCTGCCCTTGACGCTATCAAACGAATAGAAAGTGTTCAAGCCGCGATTCGCGTAGATCTCAAATTAAATCAACACAAACCGCCCAAGAAAAACTTATAGCTTAGATTCTGAGCCGCTCCAACGCATTAGATTCATACCAACCAAACCAAGTACCACGACCGCTGTTAACACTTTTGACCGACTAGAGCATGCCATCACTACCCTAAAAGCCGCGAACATTGACACTAACAACCGTATGCGCCGAAACAACCTTCTTTTCTTTGGCATTGATGATTCCGATAAAGAACCTTGAAGCGATTCAGAAAACAAAATTCTAGACCTGTGCAAAAATACTCTCGACCTAACCCTAAGCCCCAGCGATATAGATCGTGCACACCGCCTTGGAAAATTTTCTGCAACAAAAAAATGCCTATAATAGTAAAACTAGCTCACTTCAAGACAAAATAAAACATGTTGGCATGCGGGCAGAAGCTGAAAGATACATCTTTCGCATTAAGAGAAGATTTTGTCCCAAGTACTCGCCTCGCACGCTCTAAATTGTTAAAATTTGTCAAGCCCCAAAAATGCGCATTTAGGCTCAGCCTTGACAAACTACGCGTAGGTAGCAGATGCTACTTTTACGACGCTGCAACCGATAGCGTTATTGAACACCCCTCAGCACCAAACAGAACTACACTAGCAGCCCTTGAAGATACCCTATCTGTACCACCCCAGTGACGAAAAAGAAATGCTCTCCTCTCTTCCTCCAAAAACCGACCTGATTCATTCCTTAACATTAGCGTGCTTTTCACCAACATCCGCAGCATAATCCCAAAACGTGACGAACTCGAAAGTTTCATAGACGATACCGAAGCCGATATCGTCTTGTTAACCGAAACGTGGTTAAACAAGGACGTCAGTGACTGCGAAGTTTTTTTCCATCAAACCCCAATCTAATAGTATATCGACGTGACCGACATAACAGGCGAAATGGAGCAATACTGATTGCCGTTAGGGACAGCTCAGTAATCACTCACGACGACAACATTGAACTAACATGGGTATGCGTGCACAGTACAATTAGCAAAATAGTGTTTGGAATATGTTACCGTCCACCAGACAGTAGCCCCTCCTTATGCGAGAAGTTACATTTTTCTCTAGAACAAATAAAAAAATATATACCCGAGACACCAATCTTCCTTTTCTCACCAATCTTCCTTTTAATCATTCCACCAATCTTCCAATCCAATCTTCCACCAACACCAATCCACCAACACCAATTCCACCAACACCACCAACAAAATTCCACCAACACCAATCTTCCTTTTAATCATTCGAGCATTAATTGGTCGTTACTTTCAGTAGCCAACAAATCACCATCAGCGAACCCAAACAATTTCTTGAATTCACTCTGGACTTTAATCGGCACCAAACAGTTACATGCCCTACAAGGGGCGAGAACACCCTAGATCTCTTATTACGTCTATCCCCGAAAACATAAATAATGTGACTTTGCTCCCTGCCCTTAGGGACCATAGCCTCCTTCATATCAGCATTTCTCTCCCTATAAAAAAGAACGCCCCAACGCAAAGAATAATTACTGATTACAAGAAAGCTAACTTCGACGCATTTAACCGCGAACTTGCACTCTTTTTACGACGACTTCCAAAGGTCATACACTGCCCGCTCGGTCAACACCAATTGGAAATTATATAAAAACATGATGCTAAACTAAAAAAAAAACAGACATATTCTCACTATCCTTCTAAATACAGACACAAATAACCAGTGGTTTACGCAACGCCTCAAGCACATACTTAACAAGAAAAAACGCCTTTATA